AATTTCAATCACGTATAAGATCGAGCAACTGCAACTTTTTTGAATAAACATATTTAATTAACCTAAAACTTGATATATATGATCTATATGTGAAATAATTGATGATATACTAACCAGGCATAAAGGCAGCCTTTCTCTTCATGGCGTTTCTTGACATGATCAATATATGACATTTCCTGTGGTGGTGGAGGATCCATTTTTCTTTTTCTTCTCTGTTAGCTATGTTTTGCTAAGGATGCATATATAAAGAATCACATTCTCCCCTCCACTAATAAAATGAATAGGAAAAAAGGAAAAAAAGAAGAAAAACTAGGGCTTATCTCAATAGAGTCTCTTTCTCTATCTGCCTCAATTAACTGTAGTGGTTAATTAGGGGAGAGTAGATTGGCCCCTCCTCCTACTGTCTCTTTTTGGATACCACCTCCCTTCCTTTACATCAATCATTATAGTACAGCTATGGTGGCCACGACAACACTGCTATTATATGAAGACATTTAGAACTATATCACATGACAAAATTAATGCTTGTCCAATAAATGTAGAAATATGTAACAATCAGTTATTCAATTATGGCATACTCCGTAGGCCAAAAGAAAAAGCCACGGTATATTCCGATTTCTCAAACCATTTTAACAGCTGAAAACTCTGTTATGCCGGGCATCCTTCCACTGAGGGATTATTTTATTTTATTTTATTTTTTTGCAATAAGGTATTTCATATCTTAAGATTTTTTTTTTTAATCCAATCAAAGACAAATAATTTATATATTTTTTTTGATAAAAGGTAAAATTGGATTAATAATTGAAAAGTTACAGTGCAGAGTAAACCATGCCATATAGGTTATGCAAGAGAGATAAATAAGTTAGATAAAAACTTATAACACTAATATAAAGAGCTTGGTGCTCCATAAAAATAGAACAATTAAGAATTAAGAACCTTTAAATACTAGTATATGTTATAGGGGCATCAATAGAACTATGTGATAACATAAAAAGATTATATTGGAGCTTATGGTCGCTGCTGGTAATCACATCTATTTTGCCATCCAAACCTAGCAAAAGAGATCAGGGACTTGGCGATGCTGTGTATCCCGGCACCACAATGCTCCATCCAAGCAGAAAAATGCCTAGTTTGTTTCATGTTCAAGTGACCGGCAAAAGCAAAACCAATGCAAAAACATACACTTCCTTAAAAGACCAACAGCACTAGAACCAAAGTCACCCACAGCATCCTTGTCCTTCTATATTCAATTACCGAATTGAAAATTGGAGCGTACTAGGTTCTTTGATGTAGATTGAAGGATGCCGCTGCCTTGTTGGAAATTGGAGTGCACTAGGTTCTTCAAATGCAGCCCTCGCCAGGATCCCATCTGAAATTGAAGATATGTCGAAGCGGGATTCTGATCCGATGAATAAGAGAAACGCAAACCCACTAGCGAGATCATGTCCCTCAATTTTCAATCACAACCTTCAAAAATCGACAGTAAATGTAGATCGAAAGATGCCGCTACCTTGTGGTCTCTTGGGCTGAAGTTGCCAAAGCAAGACAGTCAACTAAGAGGAAGGAAGAAATCAAGAGGAGGAAGGGAAGGGAAGAAGACAGTAGAAAAAGAAGAAACTCCTTGCCAGAGAGAAACCTTTGAGAGAAACTCGTAGCTATCACCCTCAACCCTAAACAGAGCACAAGAGAAAAAAACTTAATTTTTTTATTATTTAAATTATACAAATATTTTATATTGAAAGTAAGGAATTTACAAAAAAATGTTATCTCTTCGTTGACCTCAAAAAATTAAATCTTTGATTGACAAAAGGAGTTAATGCAATCAATCAGTCCCCAAGAGAGTTAAAAGCTGCTTGATTCAAGGGGAATGGAACAAAAAGAGGCAAAAATTTTCGTCCGATAAAGATGTTGTCAATGTTTTATTTTAATTGAACTATAAATTTTCTTTCTGCACCCCCTACTTCT